TCCATTACAACAGAGAGATACTCATCACTAGCTTGCTGCAGTTGGGGAGAAACTGCTCCAAGGCCCGAGGCCCCTAATCTTAAACTTTCAACAATTTTTCTTCTGCTTCTTGCACTTCCTTGATGGAATCCCTATAATTTCTCACTTCACTGATAAGCTTGCAACATGCAGTCTCTGATCTGTTTACAGCAATAACAAATGGCATATAGTAAAGGATTGCAAAAATATATATATATCCATATGTGTGTGTGTATATAACAAAAGGGAAATAGCAGCAAGGATAAAACAATGAACATTATATTCTAATTTAAAACTCACTTTATAATGTCAACCCATAGATTTGCAAGGGCATCTTCTTCCCCATGTGGAAGGATACCACTTGCAGGCTTTGGGGATTCCAACAATGGGGCCGGTTTCCCCATACCAAGGCTGAGAAATGACTTCATGGCTACTCTCTGCTCGTCACCTGTTTACTTGCTATTTCTAAAGGAAATGAGAAACTCTGACTGAAACCAATACAGAAACTGTAACATGTAAAGAAAATGATATGGAACATGGCTTTAATAATAAAAATGGGAAGTTTACCTCCTCCACATTCACTGTTTAATTAAAAAATATAGAATTATCATGAAGCTAACAAAAACGGCTATAAGTATTATTGCTCATTGAATCTTATTACCACTTATCTAGTTTTCGTGTAAACGCAGCTCAAAGGTTGACAGTTACTAACCTTACTGCATACATAAACAGGAAGGGTATTGTGCTCATTTTATGCTTACTAGACCATATTAAATCATTATTCCTACATCAACTAGGTTTCAAAGGACCATCATGATTCTAAAATCAACTTACAGTTTTGGAGGAAGATTAGTTTCTAGCTTTTACTTATACTTGATGGAGTTCTCAAAGATCAATTCTTTGGAATACTGAATAAACAATTGATCTGTAATCATATTGGTAAAAAACTACAAAATGCTGATAAAAACATATCTTATTAATCTTCTGTTCGAGTTCTCTATGGAAAACCTTTTTTAAATATTTCAAGACAAAAGAAACTACTACTACTACTACTACTACTACTACTACTACTACTACTACTACTACTACTACTACTACTACTACTACTACTACTACTACTACTACTGCTACTACTTCTACTACTTCTACTACTACTAGTGTTTAATAGTACAGAGAACAATTAATAGATATAGAGAGAAGTGAACATCACTTATAAAATATAGGAAATAGTCCCACAGGTGTGTTGGGAACATACACACACACCACACACACACACACACACACAACACACACACACACACACACACC